ATCTTCACGGGTCGCAAATTGAGATGTCAAAAGCTGCATTTGGGTTCATCGTTATGGATACGATGTGCTGTAAAGTTCGATTTCGACTTGTCTTTCCTTTCATTAAAATAGTGTGATATGGAGGTATGATTGGTTTGCAGAAAGTACTTTCCGTGGGTAATGTATATTGTACACGCTGTGATTGTACAAGTTAATTGATAAACAATTGTGTATGTATAGGCAACCGTTTTGGTTTGAAATGGGACAATGTTTGTTTCCAACCTTTAATTATTTGTGTAATTTTTTGTGTATTGTGCCATTCTATGCAATCCGAAATACGTCTTTGACGGAATACTGTTTTAATCTACAACTCTGGGAACAATAAAAACGTTTTTAAAAAAATTGTGCGTCCATGCGTGCGTGCGTGCGTGCGTGCGTTTGTATAAATATCACCAAATACACACTATAAATCTCAGTAAATTGAATTGATCATAACACGACAGCTCTATTTCCAACATGCTGCCATGGATATTAGATGTAATTGATATTAGATTTACAAATCATTGATGTAGACTGTACTCTCGATTAACGTATGATAATCTAAAGCGAATCTTCAACTCTTATTCGATATGTTATCTGAAATGTCAGCAATGAGTAAACGCTTTATATTTTTTCGTTCAATGACGTAACAATCTGCAATTTTATTTGTGTAGGCTAGTAGACGGTCGGTCATTTTCTGCGGCTGTAAATGTCGTCTGGACAGGTGCGCGTGATTTGAATTCGCTTGTTCATTCGTCACCACTCGCCCCTTTCCGTAACCTGCAAGAAGACTTGTCCCCTCATCGATGAATGTCATGTGCGAAAATATGACAAACTAATTAGACTGCACGTCTCTCACAAAGTACTGGGGTCTAAGAATCCCACAGGAACAGTTTTTGACTTTACATATCTCTTGCATAATCCCAGCATACAGTTAAATGTGTTCAAACATGCTGTATAATACTGTACTGGAAATCATATTTACGTGTTTGGGGAAAATATACGTGAATCTTTACGCAACGAGTTCCGTTAGCGCTTAGACGGAGCCCAGTTGCGAAAAATGGCCACGAGAGGGGCACGAGTCGCTATTCGGCTTGTCCCGGAATAACACGGTTTGGTCACGAATGCTCGCTTGTTGTGACGTGTAGACGTCATGTCAAACAGCTGCTCTAATGTTGTGGTTGTCTGATGGATACACGTGTTTTCAGTTTCCAAACAACAATATCCGCTTTGAACAAGAAAGATCTGGTACACCACGATTGGGAAGATTTGCACGGCGACCCAGAGTGAATGAGACGGTTTACCACTTCAACACTTGGTATGTTGACATGTGTTTTTCATATCTCATACATTAGAATCTCGCATGGTTCGGTTTATAACAGTAAGTTACATTTTGATCATCCATTTCTGAATGACAAAATGTTTTCAGTGTAAATGTGATTTTCATATTTTTTTATGTTTTAAATAGATTTCATTGTTTTGTTTTTTAAGTCACTGCATGCATTATCTAAATTATCAAATACTTCGATCAGTGACATACGTATTTAGTTATAATTACTTTGAATTCTCAGTAAGAAATATAATTTGTAAAAAAAACATCTTGCCTGAGAGCAAAATGAATGCATACTTGTGGTTCTTTTCACAATTTTAAATTGTATATGTTCCCTCGAAGCTGTAGTTTAGCTAGGCCGAAAGGAAAGACATAGCTGAAAACCGTCTATATTAAAGATTTTGCTAGTTATGTTTTCGAATTTCAATACCAAGAATATATTTTTCATTTTACCATTGACCTACACTCATTATCTATTTCAAACTTTTCCTTTGAAGAATCGGATGAAATGAGAAACTGTACTGGAAATAAACTATCACGTATGTTCTTGAATGTATACAAGTGCAAACATAGAAATACGACTTTAAGTGTATTTACACCTAACACAATATGAAAGAAAAAGTTGTATGACTGGCCATACAAGTATATTTTGAGCAAATATCTAAAGTGGGTAGCCAAGTGCGAAATACAAGCTGAGGCGAGGATGTATGTTTACTATGGTCATAGTGAAGCAAACTTGTTCAGGGGTTTTAGAACATGAACCGTATATACATTGAAGACTACTTAAATCGAAGTAATTCATATTTTTGTAATTTTCTCATTCACTTAATCTACACAGTACTGACACGTAACATAATAATAATAATAATATTGCCTTCTTTCACCTGTACAAGTTATTTTTTCCCTGTACAGTTATGACGAACTGAAAGGGACCACTATTTTTAGTTCGTCAGTTCAGTTATAAGTAGTTATACAGCAAATGGCCTGGACACAAAACATTTGGTCATATCCGTATTAAAAAAGAGCCCACTCTACGATTCTTGAGCTTTCAAATTCAAGTATTAAAATTGTCTCGTTTCAAGCTTTTTATAAGTTTGATTTAAACCATTAACACCACATAACACAGGAAGCGGTCTGTGATTGCACAACGAAGCAATGCTTGTATGACATAAGGCGGCCGAGTTACGAGTGATCGAAAACAGGTTCGTTGAATAGATTTGCTGCCCATGAAAACGTTTCAACGATTTTGATTGAATGTACGCGTGCTTACTCTTTGTTGGTGGTACGTAAGTATAATCTTGTTAATAAGAAATAATTATGTCGGATATTGAGCGATGTCAATTTGAGTATTGATTAGCCATGTCACACATTGTGACAATTACCCCGAAGTTGTTTTTTTATCACTAACGAAAGAGCACAGACGCTGAAAACTACATAGACGTAACCAGGGTTTCTTCAAGATATACATTCCAGACGTATTCGTATTGTAACAATCTTTGACAGTCTGCGTATGAACTAATCACGACTACTTCCGGCAATTTAGTTTTAACGTCAAAACACCAACAATGTCATCGGAATTTTTTATCGGCAAATATAAATCACGGACAATTTTCAATGAATGTACTTGGACATAAATGTCATGTCTAACACCGTTACGATATGTACTTTGCAATGAATTATTGGGTCATTTAGATTACTTGTCTTGCCACAGTCGGGTGCTTCCATATTGGGATAATGTAGAAAAGTAGGCAACTTACAATACCAGCCGTCTCTTAATATTTATACGCGACCCTGAGGTCAAACTCCAAAACGAGGTTATCTCCGCAAGCTGTTAAAATGACATCGGAGCATCGTTGTGTCCTCGAATGTGTTTCCGATGCGAGCTGCGATAAATCTTGAATTTATTGACTTTAGATGCTGTTGGAAAGACGATCAACTCCAGTTTGCTTGTTATACAAATTTGGTTACACTGAAGAAATAACGCTGTAACACTTATACAATGTATACGTTTTTGAAACCGCGACGTCACAATGCGGCACTGAGCGATCAACGAAGCTGACGGCGAGGCACAATGAGGTTGAGAACACTCCTGACGTGAAATCATTTATGCGTTCGTGTTTTCGAAGTGTGAATTTGAAACAGTTTAACAAAATGAAATGTCAATGTTCGGACGTAAGCAAACTATTTGTTTGGCAAAGTATGCCGCCAACTATGGGGCTATCTTAGATTTACGACAAACTTGATCTTAGGGCTACGATAGTTTCGAAAATCTAGGTCTTGGATACTTCAGTCATCCATTCAAAAACAGGGGGTTTCTATAGCGATAGTTGGTTCCAAAGGGGCAGTCGAACCCTAAGACGCCCTCACAACCCAAACCTACATACTCTTCATTTTATACAAGTTTCCCAAGCTCTTCAAAATCCTTTGATTGTCATGTATTATGGGACAGCCTCGTGGTTAAAGCACTCTGGCATATAGCTGGAATATTGTCAAGTGACGCATGGTTACATAATGGTACGCATGCTATTTACATCCCGTAAAGATCCGGAGTAGAATAGGTCTTCAGCAACCCATGCTTGTCGTAAGAGGCGACTAACGGGGTCGGGTGGTCAGGGTCGCCGACTTAGTTAATGCATGTCATATCCCAATTGCGTGGATCAATGCTCATGATTTCAGTCACTGGATTGTCTGGTCCAGACAAGATCATAGCTGGAATATTGCCGAGTGCGGCGTACAACCAAAACATCCCAGGGCTCCATATACCTTTCATCAAGATGGTTAACTAGGGGCGGGGGCGTTGCCAGTGAGAGATGATATTTGTAGAACACATGGATCAATTAAATTTAGTTGGGCTTGAGGCGATATGGTCAAAATCATATGTGAAAACAGAAACTATGCAAAAGGTTTTTCTTCTATACTGCTGACAAAGCCAAGACGTTTAAGCCATTAATTTATCACTTGTGGCAACGGTATTGATTTGAATATAAGCACCATTACTGTTGGCGATATTGAGAAGAGAGACGACAAAACACCTCGGGAACATGTAGACCTGTTGCATATGCAGGTACAGTGCACAGGATCCGTTTAACAGCGACCATTGTCCATTTTTTGTCAAGTTAATTGAAAGTTTACTTCTGCTCAAAAACAGATTATACCGTTTAACGCCACTCAAATTTTCCAGCTACCCTATGACAGCTGTCTAAAGTTGATATTATGAGCATAGATCCACGCAATTGGGATACGGTGTATTGCATCAACCAAGTCAGCGAGCCCGACCTCCCGAGCCCGTTAGTCGTCTCTTACGACAAGCATAGTCATCTTTCACGGCAAGCATGGGTTGCTTAGGACCTATTCTAACACGGATCTCAGTAATTTGTAATACAATTGTTAATTACATGCGTTGGTCGTTTCATCGTTCTTTCACATGTGGTATTCAGAAGCACGGGTTTTAGGTGAATTTGGATGGATCCGATCCAAACTTGTGTTCATGATTACACTATGGACATACTATTGAGGTTTGGGGGCACTGGATTTATACATTAAAGTCTTGAAACGCTTTAGTTAGTGAAAAATTGCCTGCTATAAATATGAACTTTGTTGCAAGGATATTTCCAAAACACCCCTATAAAGTAGGTAAAGTATTAAACAAAGATTTGTCACGACATTTTATTTTCACATCGTACATGTATTAAGATGCTTGCGTTACAGTACGCTGCGATGACCAAACCCCAATGTTCAACAGTTGACCTTTGTAGCGCTGCTTGCTTTTGGTGAGTAAATTCGTTTCATGCGGATCCTTCCAGGCATATAGCAACCTCCGCAGTAACCGCCACACGAAAGCTTGTAATAATCCTTCGATCCACTGTGAGAGTAGTATCCAGAGCCGTATGGCCCTGTTCCATAGACTTCCGTCTGCAATGTATAATTTATTAATTTATAGCAAGGACATTATGTGAATGTTGGCAATAATTCTACAAGATCACGGTTGTCGGCAAGTAATGTAGGAACTAGATTTGAAGGGGGGGGGGGGGGGGGGGGGAACTCCCCTGTAAACTAGGACAGAACCTTATGTATTGTTAGCTGCAATCTGTCAGAATCATTTGTTTATTTTCGTTTGTGGAGGGAAAAGAAATATACTAGCCACATCAAGAAACTGCACGGAGAAAATATAGATATAAAGGCAACACCGTCAATATATGAAAGATATGTTTAAAAACAGCAATTATTGGAGACATTCAAACGCTCATGCACGTGCCATGCGATATGACGTCATTGATGGGGGCCTATGGACGTGCAATGTGTTACTGCACGTGCATCCTGTGCAGCTGTACACAGCATGTGCAACTCAAAATTCGCTGTCACTTTGGAAAGCATGATCTGTGGTCATTCAAAAAAATTCTCAGGCGCAGACACAAGCATATCACAAGCAAATCATGCCAAGATTGACATCTGCACAGCGTCATGAAGCCATTGGAATGATCCGAGCGGGAATGAGGCAACAGGTGGCAACAAATTTCCAATGCCATCGTAACACGATATCGACATTGGTGAGGCGTTATCAGAACACAAATGATGTTGCCGACCACCCACGTTCAGGACGTCCCCGAGTAACGACGCCAAGACAGATGGATTCGAGCGACACATCTCCGACACAGGTTCCAAACGGCAGTAACGACGTCCCAGACAATTCCTGGCCTGCGCAGTATCCACCCCGACACCGTCAGGAATCGTTTAGGTCAGTACAGGAATCGTTTAGGTCAGTACGGGATTCGACCACGACGCCCTGCCATACGTCCCATCCTGACACACCGTCATCGAGTCAACCGTCTAAGATGGTGTCGAAATCATGTTCGCAAACCTCGAATATGGTGGAGAAATGTTGTCTTTACAGATGAATCGAGGTTCAACATTTCCCACAGTGACGGGCGCCAACGTGTCTACCGGCGTTTGGGAGAACGTTATGCACGCAACTGTATTGTTGAGAGGAATCGTTTTGGAGGTGGCTCCGTGGTGATTTGGGTCGGGATAACAGCACGGCACCGAACCCCTTTGGTGGTCGTTCAGGGCAATCTTACCGGTGTTGGCTACAGAGATCAGATTCTGAGGGATGTGGTCATTCCTTTCCTGCAACGTCATGGCCCGGGATTGACATTTCAACAGGACAACGCTCGTCCTCACACGGCTAGGGTCGCAATGGATTTCCTTCACCATAACAATGTCATGTTACTGCCATGGCCTGCAATTTCTCCAGATCTCTCCCCAATAGAGCATGTGTGGGATGAAATGGAGCACCGTCTGCGTCGTCCACATTCTCCAGAATATGTCCGTGACCTGGCACAGGATTTTGGTGCTTACAGTCTGTGGCTACAGAGTTGCGGGCCGTTTCCGAAATGGATTTTTAAAATACCACAGTAACCCTATTAAGTGCAATCCCACGAAAAGTAAGACGATCGGGTTCCGAAAAAACATGTCTTCAAATATGTGTGGATATGTGTGGTACTTTTTTTAAATTAAGTTAAATGAATGCTACTCACAGATTTTATTCCAAGTCCAGTGCCTCTGAAGTCCACAACAGTAACTCCTTTCTTCTTGCATTTGTTTAGTTTAGAGTGGCAGGCGTACGCTACTCCAAAATGCTGGACGGTGCCGGTTGATCTGGCAAATTTCAAGTCGCTTCTGATGACTTGCATTGTCTGAAAATTATCAATCGAGACATGGTTACAGGTATCAACGGGGCCGTTTTTGGCAGAGAAGCTTGTTGCCTTGCTCGGCAATATTGCAGGCAGTCTGAACCAGAGAATCTAGTGACTGACATCATTCAAGTGCGTGCAGGTAATGTATTCGTACATTTGAAAAATCGAATATTGAAGATGCTGGTGCAGTTATGTTTGTTTAAAGCCGCACTCAGCAATATTCCAGTTAGTAAATAAGCAGGTCTGGACCAGACGATGTGATATCATGAGCATCGATCCATGCAAGTACAGTTGCACTAAATCTAAGGTAGGTCGACAGGGTGGCAATGTACGAGAAATAGAAAGTCGTTTTGAAGTAATCCCGTCATTAATTTGTCCGTGTAAAGCGAACAGCGTGTCAGACAAATTGACAGGAATGCCCTATTGAGAAACGTTGTGGGAAAAAGTTCTGTAAATATATAAACGGTAGAGACTGACTGAGATGTTATATATATATATATATAACAATGTGTTCGCAGCCTTTATGATGGTTGTGGTTTTACGGTATGGGTCTGAACTCGCGAGAGAACATGATTATTTTACGTATTTACCGAAAGTGGCACAAAGTAAACCGCACTAAAACAACGTGCTTGGTAAATTAGAATCTTGTATGCAGTTTTAAAATATACTTATATTTTCGGGATATAGTTAAAGACTGTCAAAAATTGTTATTAGCCTGTCTGGTATATGGAAATTTGTCGCCAAAAACATGGTTTACTTCAAGATGTTGGTTAATCTGTTGTAGCGTTCGTTTGACGGTATTTCAGCCATCTTTCCCGTTGCATTCGACACTGAAAGCCTTTATGACAGAAGTTTTCAAAGAATGAAAGTAGCCACATTTCGTCAAAGTGCAAGGCAATGGAGCAACTATGAGTGACGGGTTTAGGGTCTGTCGGGAGGGGAATGGAAGACATTTTATCTTGCATGCATTTCGGATACCTAAGGCGACAGGGTACTCACCGATACGTAGATCCGAACCTTGGAGAATGTAGTGACTCCGGACTTGTTAGGTTTAGGAAGAGGCACGTCTCTGCCGGTGCATTTTGTGTTTCGCGTGGCAGGATAGTTGGCATAGTTTCTTTTTACTAGCGTAATGTAATGCACGGGACTGCGGGACTTCATATTATAGCAGTAAACCTTCAAACTGGCGCCCTTGAGCAGCGTGGGGTATATCCAGTATTCTCCATCTTTTTTAGCATTGCACTTCTTGACACTGGCGCAAGTGTTGGCTGAAACGAGTGCCAGTCAAGTGGTTCAGGTGAAGGTCGACAAGAAGTCGACACATGGGAGGACAATTTTACGGGAGTTCTATATGCTGGCCTGTAAAATCGATTTTAAAATAAATCAGAAGTATAGTTGGCTGGATGACCATCCAGTCATTGATATGAGCATCCATCCACGCAATTGGGATACGATGACATGCATTAACTAAGTCAGCGAGCCTGACCACCCGATCCCGTTAGTCGCCTCGTACGACAAGTATGGTTGCTGAAGACCCTTTCAAAAAAACGGATCGCCAAGAGTCTAGTCGAGCTCGGCAACTAAGATTAATTCTATCCAATTCTTTCCCGGAGAGACTGTCAACGCAATACATTTTAGCTGGGTGGTATGGTGGCAACGCTCATGGAATAAATGGGACAACTTTATTATCCATAAGAAATCTGCTAAAAGCAGAGTCCACTGTACGATTCTGACCAAACGTGTTTATGATCCATTATCTAATAGTGACGATACCGCAGGTATCTGAAAAGATGGGCGCATTCTGCGCTCCTGATGGTACTGTCACAAAGACATGCAGATGCAAGTGAATTGTTCACCTGAAAAACACGATAGCATGCGGTACAAGGCATATGCAATTGCACCGATGCTTTGTTTTTTATTCGTTCATTGTTTAAAACTGCACTCGGCAGTATTCCAGCTATTTGACGGGCTGAAGAGCTATTCTACCCCTGATTTTCACGGGTCATGAATGCGATTCACGTCATCGGAACGACATGAAGTAAGCTAGCCCGACAAGCTAATCTTACGACAAATGTATTCTTACCTAGCATTCCACAGGGATTAAACTCAAACAGAGCCAGGTATTCAAATACTCACGTTCACAACTAAAGTAGACCTTCGTCCAGGTGCTGTCGGCTAAACAATTTATTGATGGGGTGCGTGTAGCTTGGAATCCTCTGTGGCATGTGTATACAGCCTTAGCGCCAACAGCGAGGGAGGTATATTTGACGGTTGATCTTTTAAGAGTTGGAGGAGGGCCGCATACATCGGTGGCCAGTTTTAGAAGTATCAACATAGTATCCGCTGTTGCGTATTCTGTATAAATAATTGGGAAGAGAAGTTACGATAGTATTTTAAGCATTATAATATTGTCAAATGTTATCAAAAAATATATTTTTAAAAAATTATATACTTAAATCGGATGGCCAAATGGAACTTTTCACCGAGAAAAAAGGCAATAGTTTATCTTTGTAACAACTTACACCTTAAAAGTTAGCCAATGTATATTTAAGAAAAATAACAAATGTCAGGTATGGACTTCAGCAATGTCCAACGAGACATTAATCTCGTGACCACAGTATACGTTGCATTTAGTTGCCTGTAGTTTTTCAAGGCAAGTAGAAAGTTATGCAGCGAGACCAACCATAAGTTTCCAGTTAGATGGACTGCTTACTGATAGACGGGTCACGTGTAGACTTGTGCGAGTACTGAATTCTCGGAAAACTGGACCCCCTGTCATAAGGACATGAGGCTGATGAAGAGTCTTTAACCACAAGCCATCCCCAATCATTGTTGCAACCGCCCCAGGATCGATTGATGTACCACCGCCTATATGTTTGAAACCTGGATGGAAGACATTTAAATTAAAGAAAAGTTTGCAAGATGAAATCTTATACATTACCAGTAATTATTTCACTCGTCAGCATCAAATCAACCAAGACAGATTGTTCTGAGGGGAGGGAGGCACCAAAATGTGTTTCACATATTTTATCCCTTTCGGGAATAAAACCCAGTTCTTTGGCGTGACGAGCGAACGCTTTAAGTGCTTGGCTAACAGACCGCCTAAATGTTACGGCCAGTTGTCCGTCTTAGCGTTTGCTCGAGTTACTTCTGGAGTAACACCCACGACACTGCATTCCCCGTGTTCAAGATCCCACAAAGTAAATACATCAGGATCGAATTGATTGTCAAGCATGCCAGTGTAGATACATTATGCTTTGCAAGTCTGGAGCAGAGAATCCAGTGATTGGCATGCGCATCGATCCACCCCCTTGGGATATAAAGATAAGCATGCGGGGGTCGCCCCACTGAAGCATGGGTTGCTTCAGATCATTTTTAACGCGGTATCGTGAAGGTCAATTCAGTCAGGCAATAAAATTCTTACCCGGATAAGGAAAAGAAGTTCGTACGGCTTTTCTTTCCCAAATCTGTCCACGACGATGCCACGAGTCGTGGTTTTGAAAACCAGTTGGTAGAGGACGAACCAACACCATTGAATACCAATGTCTTCTTCAACCTCCCAGATTTCATGATCAAGACGCGGATCTAAGAATAATCAATATCTTATCCATTTAAAATCGAAATTTATTGCCGAGCGCTTGTAAAAAGTCAACGACAATCTTTAATAAATAGAAGAGTGACAATCTGTACCATAAGCAATCGGTTGTATAAGATCATGCCATCATTAGCTTGTGTTCATTTAGTATGCGAGTCATGCGAACACCGATATGACTACGTTTGTTGATTGTTTAACGCCGCACTCGGCAATATTCCAGCTATATGACGGCTGTCTGTAAATAATCCAGTCGGGACTAGACAATCCAGTGATTTACATCATGAACATCGATCCACGCAATTGGGATACGATGAGATGCATCAAAGTCAGCGATCCCGTAAGTCGCCTCTTAAAAGTATGGGTTGCTCAAGATCCATGCTACCTTGGATCTTCATGGTCTATGTATTTATGGTCATTAAACTTGAGAGTAGTATCTTTTACGAACATATTGGACAGGTTAGCAAAAAAAGGTTTATGAATATAAAGAGGATATGGTTAAGCGATGTAAAATTTAAAGGAGAAAAAAAAAACAAGCGACGATAACTACGATGAAAGATTTTTTTGGTTCAGAACTTGGTATTATGCTCGTTTAGTTGATAGGGACTAAAGGGAAACTGGCAACCGTTTAAGCGTTCCCAACTGGAGGGAATGTTCAGCGGACTGAAATTACCTGCTTGACTCCAATTTTTGACCAGTTGTTGACAAGGACACTTCTGAAGTGTTTTGTGCAGGGTAGAGCTGCATTTCCTGTGAGGCATCCGGCTGGCAACGACTTTGAAATCGGGGCATCGTAGAATATCTTTTTGTTACTCCACGTATATACCGAAGACACTCTGTTTCCAGATACTATCCTCATAGCGAGTATAGAGTTCCCCATGTATACGAAATCTGAAGTAGAAATCCATTGCACATCTTCAATTCTGGGTAGCACAATATTAAGACATTGATGCAATGTCTCACGAAAGCTACTCGTGTATTTACCGTAGAGAATGTAGTGTCAAGGCTTAAACTGTGGCAGTTAATAGAAATGCTGTACTAGAGATTTGGGTTGAAATCTGTTTCAGTGTTTTTCATACACCGACAATGGTAGTTGAATGTACGGTTCGATTTGTTTGTTGTTTAACGCCGCACTCAGCAATATTCCAGCCATATGACGGCTGTCTGTAAATAATCGAGTCTGGTCCAGACAATCCAGTGAATGACATCATGAGCATCGATCCACGCAATTGGATCCGATGACATGCATGAACCACGTCAGCGAGCCTGACCACCCGATCCCGTTAGTCGCCTCTTACAAGCATAGTCGCCTTTTACGGCAGGCATGGGTTGCTGAAGACCTATTCTACCCCGGATCTTGACGGGTCTGTATTGTTCGAAGTGTGGCTTCAACTGTTCTGAGAATGCATAACCAGCATTTTAGAACATTTACACATACGACAGACGCTGTGCATAATGAAAGCATAATGAAAGCGGATATTGCACGTTAGTGATTTCAGTGCATTTAGCAGTAAATATGAACTTCATGTCAATGACATGGTTGCTCCTTAATATAAAAACGTTTGAGGTCCTGTCAAATGTGACCAATTCAAACATGCGGTTTGGAAATGTTTCAGAGTATATATATTTATATCAAAATGACAGTAGAATCATTTTGAACCAACAAAGTACTCACAAGAGCATCTTAATTTGCTTGCAGCCCATTTCCCGTTTGCTTGACAGGCAATAGTGGTAGAGCCAGATCTTTTTCTGTATCCCTGGTTGCATGTGTACGTGGCAATGGATGAGAAAGTCGTCGTCGTAACAGCTACTGTAGCGTAGGTTATTGCTGGTGGTTTCCCGCAATCCTTTTCTTTTAAAAACAAAAACAGCCATAAAAAAGGTGAATAATTAAGGATCCTTTACGTAAGTCAAGGTTGAGTACATTTAAGGACCACGACATCTAAATGACCAAATATGGACCATGTTTATCTCTTGCCTTACATTAAGATACTAGCTTCCGATTTTGTTAAAGTAGGCAATTACTTTCCTTGTAGCGCCTGAGAAATAATCTTAAGACCTTAGGTAAGTTGCTTATCTGGCACAAGTATCGTGGAGCTGAAGTGAACCTAGGTTCATCGGAAAGCATTGGGTAAAGGGAAGTAACTTTTTTGTATGTCGTCTGCTAGGCAATGGCAGAGTCAACGGGTTTTTAATCCCGTAAACTTCCTCGGGTCATGTGACATGTTGTAGCGTCTCGGACTATGCATCTGTGTACACAGATCGGTACACGACACCATATACCTATCTGATATCCATATGTGAAGTGACGAAATCAATGAAAACATAAGCATTAGGGCAACCCTGTCAATGACTTGGCCGACTGCTTGTAAACGGCAGTTCTAGTCGCGCAATCCAGTGCGGAGACTCGATGTCTGGCTTTGTGGACTTACTCTTGCAGGAAAATGCGGGGGCTTCTCTCTTCCCGTCCGAAAGACAGCGGGCGGTGGCTTTTCCGATAAGGTTGTAGCCAGCATTACAGGTGTAGGTGGCAACGGTGTTCACAGCTAGCGAGGGAAAGGCGACCTGAGAGTTGGGTACAGCGGGAGGGGGGCCACAGACGTCAGTAGCCAGCTTTAGGAGGATTAGCATGGTGTCAGCCGTGGCATAGCCTAAAACCAATGTCATTTAATTACATATTCACAAAATAAAGATTTAGTGGATAAAGGGACCCGTGAAGATCCGGGTTAGGATAGTCTTCAGCAAAACATGCTCGCCGTAAATGGCGACTGCTTGTCTTAAGCAGTTGACGAACGACATATCCCGTTTAAGCTCGCCAACTTGGTTGATCGATGCTTAATTATTACACATACATAATATATATATATTATGTAATTGTTTGGTTCAGACTCGACAATTTTGAAACTGCCATCATACAGCTGGAATATTTGCTGAGCGAGGCGTTAAATACTGGATAAACGCTGAAATGCGATAACGTCTTGCATTTATTCTCTACAATCGTTTCGTTTGCAATTTCAAACACCACGACGCCAACATTGACGTCACTTCCGAGACGAATATTTGCGGCCAATACATCCCGTTTTGACTTGATAATCGTGAATGGAAGATTAAGCAAGGCAGGTACATTGTTTTAAAGCGCCGCACTCGGCAATATTCCAGCTGTAAATTTAGTCTGGACCGGACAATCCCGTGATTGACATGTGCATCGATCTACGCTATTGGGATACGATGACGTGCATCAACGAAGTGAGCGAGCCTGACCACCTGATTCTGTTAATCGCCTTGTACGGCAAGCATGTATTGCCGACGGGATCTTCACGGGTAGAGTGCATTACAATGTTTCAACTGACAAGATGGGAGGACTTGCACAGAGGATTGAATTTAATTGGGCAAGTAAATGCGGGAGTAGTTCGATGATTCATAGTGTAGCAAAAGTCCGTCTTAGCACAAACGGGCATACCTAAAACAATTGTCAACACGTTGTGTAATGGTTCACACACACACACATATATATATATATATATATATATATATGATATAATTTAAAGCACATCGGGACATGCGGAATCATAAAATATGATTGAGCACATTTAACCGTCTGGGGGGGTATAGGTTTAGATGCAAGACATGTAAAATCAAATTTCCGAGGGATTCTTTGACGAAGAAATTGAAATCATACGCGCATTCCGATTGATTTGTAGTATTTTCCCACATGATATTCATCAAGGGGGTGGGGTGGGGGGAGCAGTCTTCTTGCAGGTTACGGAAAGGGGCGAGTAGTGACGAATGGCATAACGAGGCGACCCGACCATCTTCATGACCTCAATGCCGATTGACAGGCAGGGTAACAAGTATCTTTTCTTTCGGTATGGAACTACCGACCTCCAGGCAGATGCCTTAACTGAACCAGGGAGGCAATGTGGCACGGCGAGAACGCCTTCCTATATATAATACTTGGAATGGACCGTCATGTAAACTTGACGGTATGTCAAAATATATATATATATATTTCAATTTGTATAAAACGAGTAGGTACGTACCCGTTGCTCTTTCATGGTACTTGTAGTTTGAATAACGTATCCTCGGAAAACTCTTTCCTTTATCGTAGGGGCAACCAGCACCAGCTGAATCTTTTACAACAAGCCATCCGTCGTCTGTACTGCATGTGCGCGATGCTCTGTTGATGTACCAGTTCCTATAGGATGAGGGCCTGCAAGTAATAGTGAAATAGAAAGTGAAAAGCGACATCAAGTCTGCCAACAGTGAGGTTATGTTGGGTTTAACGTCACGTCCAAGATTATTGCACTTACATAGCGGCGTGCGTGTGGCAGCTTGAACTAGACCGGACTGATGCCGATTTATAGTGCTAGCTCACCGAGATACCATATCTCAGTTTAACATGAATATCCCCACTCAGTCAGTATACCGACCGAGCCGACCAGTCCGTGTTTTAACTCATTAATGCCGAGCTCCCAGACAGGGTAACAAGTACCATCTTTTAACGCATGTTCATATGACGCGGCCCGGGATCGAACCCCTTGACCTTCCGCTCTACCACAAGAAAACGGAGGCGGTCTGCCTATCAGTAGGTAGTCTCAATACTAGAAATTGAGTTTTGTCCAACTGAAGCCTAGGGCGAGGCTGCCATGTTCCTATTGTGTTTCATCGTAGCGACAGGTCCGTTAACGTCAATATATTAATCTCAAATTAGGCAGCAATAGTAAAGTACACTACAATTACAAGAGATACTTACCCAAGGATCTTGAAATAGTTCATTGAATATCTGTATGGAAGATTTTTCCAAGTGGATGTCATCAATTTGGATCTGGAGAACCAAGAGAGGTAGTTCGTTCCTTTTGCGTTGAAGTCCAACGTCCTTACTGCCTTTCTATTTTTGAGGAGGACGACGCGCACCTGTAAGAAAAAAAATGAACCACGTCTTGTAAAACTTCCAAGTTCATCCCCTTTCAAAATAAGAGTTGGGGCTAATCCCGTTTCGAACAGCATTTAAGTAAGTCACCATTGTATTCACAAGTCATTTGTCAATACGAGCCGTGAAGCTCCGTGGTAAAACAAGCCAAAGGTCTTCAGCAACCCATGCTTGCAGCAAAAGGCGACTTATGCTTGTCGTAGGAGGCGACTAACGGGATCGGGTGGTCAGGCTCGCAGACTTGGTCGGTGCATGTCATCATATCTCAATTGCATAGATCGATCCTCATGTCAATCACTGGATTGTCTGATCCAGGCTATTGACCGGCGTCATATAGACGAAATATTGCCGATTGCGGCGTTAAACACTTGTTAATATTGTCTTGTCGCTAATTGGCTGAAACAATGCCGATGCAACATTAAATTGTAACTCACTGTTGGTCGGATGGTATAGACTGAAGTGATGGCCTTTCATGTTCAAGATCTGTACATTGGTACGGTTGTAACAAACCTGACGGAACGTCCGGTTACAGGTTTCTGGCGTGCGAAGGGACGCAACTCTGCACGCCCTAGGGTCGTCCACGTGTACCGAGCGACCAATAGCCAGTGAATCGAGACAATTGAGCCAAGACATTCCTGCCCAGATCGGCGTGGGTTGAAACTGGATCGTCTCGACAACTTGTTTGACAATTATCGACCGATCAGGTATCGTTATCTTCTGGCAAGGTTGATAGTTATAACAAGTAATAAGTCATTCGGTTGTAGAGCTACCCAATAGAAAGCGATACCGAAAAATGATAGTTATACTTTGTTGATTAGCGCCTGTAAATAGATTTACACATTACATCCGGGAAATTTGAAATAGTTATGCACCAATGCATCTCACGTTTCAAAGACAAATACTGGGCACAATGCATTCTGTCAGATTACCCTCTGTAAGCCGATCTTTGACCAATAGTTAAGCAGCGTGCTCCTGAAATGCGTCTTACAGGGGAGACGTGTATCGGGCCCTAGGCAACCGGGCTGCAGAGACGCGGGCACAGGGAAGTCCAGCTTGATAGACGGATTTTTCCAAGTGTTGGCAGAGTTGACGCCGTTACCAGGAATAATCCTCATACCCAAAACATACCCGTTTATGTAGGCAAATTCTGTAAAGGAAAAATTGTATATGAAGGTAGCAATTTTAGCTGTAGAGGTATGACAAGTTGACTATTTAGACAAAGTGCAGTAACTTTTGCCGATAAAAAGCATCTGCTTTCAAGGCGAGGGTGAAAGCGAGCGACAGGAATGTTCATGAAGCTTTCGAAATGCATTGTATCGCAAATAGTTGGGCAAATTAAGTTTTTATTTAATCAAAGTTGGATATTTATTCCATTTTAGCTGGTCAAGTAATACCTGTACATTTAATAACCGGGAAAATTAGGGGTGGATCTTCAGCAACCCATGCTTGTCGTAAAATGCGTCGGATGGGATTGGGTAGTCGGGCTCGCCGACTTGACTGAGGCATGTCATATCCCATCGATGACGTCACTGGATTGTTTCAGCCAGACTAATTTACAGACAACTGTCATATTGCCGAGTGAGGCGTTAGACAGATTGGGGTTAGTCTTCAGCAACTATGCTTCTAAGACCAAGGAAAGATTACACTGTTCCAGTGAAATACTATCTTCCCATAAATATGGAAAGTAGATTTATACATTCAGAAATTGAAATTTGAAGCAAAGGGAGATTATGCAGATACATATTAGCAAAACCTAAAGTAGAAAAAGGATCGGAAAGTATCGAGGTGAACACTTGGAAAGAGCTTCAGTGCCTTGTTGTAGGCTAAATACGAGATTGCTAGTCTTAAGGAATTTTAACAATGGGGCAGCCCCAGCAACTGTTTCTAGAAGGCATTGTCGCTCTTATGCCGAGGCAACTGAAACTTCAACATATAAACAGAAATGTGCGGCCTCACTGGAGCACTTTAAGTTGTTAGTAGACCATCTGGTGCTTGACAAGCAGACGACTTTGAGATAACCCGATCTTCTTGTGAATCCTTGGTTGCAGGTGTATGTGGCGGTAGAACCGAAGGTGGTAGTTGGTGCCGACACTGTAGCATCCGTGACGGCAGTGGGTGTACCACAATTTTTGACTGAAAATATTAAATGACTCGAATTATTAAGGTTAGTTTAATATGTAAAGGCAAGACATATCATTAAACAGGTCATTTTATATAGACTTTTGAGGTCGAGATCAAATTTTATTTAGGCGTTTGAGCCTCGTTTTACCTCAATGTTTAAGATGATCCGTGTGGTTATGACTGAAAATGTGCAACGTGTCATAGGCAAGTTTGATGCCAGGACTGTAACGATGCTTTGGAATAGTGAAATATAGTTCATACTTATTACAAATTCTAGTGAGTATTGTTTGACGTCGATTCCAGACAATCCTGTAAGTTATGGTCCCTATGCTCCTCATTTCACTTGTAACATTGCAATGACGTCATTGAAGTAAGCGATACCAACTGTAGTGGCGTCTTAGATTTTCATTTGTACCGTAAGGTGGGAAAGGCTTTGCTGACGTTGGAGATACATACTGGTACATTTGAAGTTTGTTGTAGCCCAAGTACCGCCAGCCTTGCAGAGGATTGTGCGTGTGCCGCTTGCGGTATAGCCAGGTTTGCATGTGTAGGTAGCTATCCGGCCGACGGTGGTTGCAGGTGAAGAAGACACAGCATTGGGCAAGGCTTTAGGTGCACCGCAATCGTGTACTGAAATATTGCATTGTCATGATAGTCCTGGGGTGTAACGTAGTGAGGAGGTAGTGTTCAGTTTTTGCGCAAAAGTTAATGAGAAATGACGAAAATCCCAGACTGAAGGGATCTTGCCAGTAAAAATATTAAAATCGCATTGTAATTTTTTGTCAGTTTTGCTTTAAAGTTCAGAAAGAGCAATGGATTCCGGGTTGAAACTATGCCAAGGGTGATAATGAAATATAAAGTTTTAACCATTTTAAACCAATGTGGACATAATTGTTATCCTCAACCAAATATTATAGACGACCGAGAGCAACAACAGTTGGAGGGAGCAAAGTCCGGACTGATGCAGGTCTTAAAGTTGTCTGGTGCCGACAAACAAATAATCGTGGGGTTTAAGTTATCTAGGTGCCCAAGGTATCCGTGTCCCAATAGTCGATTGGAAATACACGAGGTTGTGAAAAGGTTTAACGCCGCACTCGCCGTTTTCCAGCTTTATAACGGGCCTTGTTCAAGTAATCAAGTCTGTTGCCAATCAAGTGAATGACATGAGCATCGACCCACAGAATTGGGATATGAAGGCATATCAACCAAGCGAGCCTGACCACCCGATCCCGTTAGTCGCCTCTTACGAGAAGCATATGTAGTGTGGTCTGGCAGCAGGGTTAAGAAAAAACTGCCGCCGTGAAGTAGCGACACAGGCAAACTAAGCAAAGTTGCCGACGAGTTGTACGCCTTTGTGGAATCGCGAGATGTACATGTAGCAGTAAAATTGTGAAGATTCACATGAATTGAATACTGATGTTCTAAATCATCGCTCCTTATCCAGCTGATGGAGAGTTGATCAGATTTAAGAGGGAGCAAAAGGAATTGTCTTCGGGTCAGCTCTGGATGGCTCAATCTTAAATTCTGTCAAGCCTGCAAATCATGCGTCAGTGTTAATTGTGAACTTACATGTACAGGTAAACTTGAGCGATGTCCACGTTCCATCTGGTTGGCAGGTTATCACGGGTGAGTTTTTGGGAGCCCAAAATTTGAGGCATGAATAGGTTGCCTTGGCACCAATAGCTATTGAAGAATATGCTACCGTTGCTCCTTTCAGAGTGGGTGGTGAGCCACAGACATCGGAGGCCAGTTTAACGTAGACTGCCATAGCATCAGCAACCCTATAACCTGATAACATTAGAGATCACATTGTTGGAACGAATATGTGCAAGGTTATTAATACAAATAGTTTAACCAAGGGGTTCGATACCCAACATATTTGTCACAAGTATTTTGGACAGGAAAGCCCGAAAATTGGTCGAGTAGGTGGCCTAAAGCAAAGGGCAGCGAATCTGACCACACCCATCTCAGTCGCCTTTTATCACTGTTGTAAAAGGTAGTGAGAACTACTAACGACACTTGCAGTGGGCGGATACTTGAAATTGGCTTCACACATTGTAACTAGAAATGAACTAGAAGGAAACTTTTAACGCCACAGCTACCCTACCGTCAATGTGTACAGATGGGCAAGTATGAGCCGAAATGAGAACAGTACGTACTGGACGTTTTCGAGTAGTATTTGTCCGAGCTGGAGAACCGTATCACTGGGAAGCTCTTGATCTTGTCAAATCTACATGGCCCAAATTTGGCAGTGTCCTTGACGACCAGCCACCCATAATTCCAAGAACAACGACCCCACCTTTTGTTGATGTACCAGTTTCTGTATCCATACCTGCAACATGTTAAATACAACAATGAAACCCGAGGCACGTTGGTCGTTTTGTTCCTTCGGTATTTAAGGGGGCTTGTTGGGCGAGCGATGCTTATCCGAATGGGGACGGAGCAGCTCGGTCGCAACATTGCCATTACAGCAAGAGGAATGTGTCGGAAAGCCCAGACTTACTGCGTTGGAAAATGAGTCGTTTGAACTTTTCACAGGGCAAACTTGGTTTATAACGTATATTTTCCCGTCCGATATAGCAAGCTCTAGCTGACGTAGCATTGATGCAGCAGAAACAGAGGAACAGTCTGTCCATAGACGGGTAACAGCGGCCCGACACTTAAAAAACGCCTTTCAGAAAAGACGGAGGCCGCTTGCAAGTGTGGATACATATGACGTGGCACTGTATCACTATCTAGAAAAGCAGTCAGTTCAAAAACTGAGCCTTAGAAGAGATAGTAACGGTAAATGTTTTAAAACAAAATAAAAACAGCATGGCAAGAGTAAAGGAGGTAAATGACGTTATAAAATGGGGCGACTCGAAATTGGCAGGAATGCACGTTCAAGCCATGAGGTTATCATGTTACGTCGCAGCTCAACCCAACAAAGCGAAGGAAACTTCTACTTACATGCTTATGCCGAAGTTGTTGTATGTTTGTGTTTTCATTCGAGACCATGTAGATGATAAAATTCTGGACTTCTTAAACCAGTTCCAGCGACTTGTGCCCCGGCCATCAAATCTGATATAGCGACTTTTTCCATTCTTGGACAAGATAACAAAAACCTGAAAGGCGACCATTTCATTGTGTATTATCAAAAGTGTGTGTGTGTGTGTGTGTGTGTGTGTGTGGGTGGGTGGGTGGGGGGGGGGGGGTCTTGCCGTCGCCATACAAAAAGACATGTTGATAGTTACAGTAATGACGAAGAATGACGCGATCCCGTTAGTAACGTCTTACAAGCATGTGTTATAAGAAACACCGATCCCCAACCCCCCAAAAAGTCCCTTGAAGTGGTCATTACCCACAAATGACGATGCACTCCGTTTCTAACAAAGCATATACCACACCCACAATAAACCGTGTACGGGGGGGGGGGGGGGAGGAAGAGAGAGAGAGGAATTGTTTTGCAACTGTTTTTAAAGTTCATGCTTGGTGTATACAACGGAAACACATACCTCTTGAATGCCAGCTTTTTCCCAGCTCTTGACGATGCTACTTTTAAAGTGGGTTGAACAGGCCTTGGATTTCTGCATGACGAAGCATCCCGGCTGGATGGAGGTGGACAAAAGTGGGCTATCGTGGGCGATGGCGTCGTCTTTCCATGTGGCGACACTGCTGACGCCGTTTCGGGGAGCAATACGGAGCACCAGCATCAGATTATTCCGGTACACGAAATCTACAAGAAAAGAAACTATACCCATGAAGATTCCGGGGTAGAACAGGTCTTCAGCAACCCATGCTTGTCGTAAGAGGCGACTAACGGGATCGGGTGGTCAGGCTCGGTGACTTGGTGGATGCACGTCATCGATCCCATTGCGTGGATCGATGTTTACGATACGAGTGGATTGTCTGGTGTCAAACAAACACCTTCAGATACTGTTCGTTAAGGAAATGACATTAGGTCACGTTTTGTGTACCCTTCCAGATGTCACCCTTTAGGACATCAGTTTGACGTCATAGCAATAGAGAGGAAATGACAATTGTGCACCGAGGAGTTTCAAAATTCTCTTGACCGGGTTTCATTCCGGTCTAGGTGTAAACCAATTGGAATCATTTATATATGCATTGAAAATATATTATTTTGGCATATTGCCGCAAAAGCCCGTCTTTTCAACTTCCTCAAATATTTACTCTTGCATTTGTTGGGAAAGGCAAGTAGCGGGAAAGATATATGGATATTTGCGCCATTAGAAAAGTTCTAAATGTTTATACCACTACCATGACCTCTTTAGAAGAGTGCAAGTCATCTAAAGCAAAAACTTGTGAATGGTATCTATTTAAACTGCCCCGGGAACGTTAGTTTTCTCTCGTCTTGTCAAGCATTTCCATAATCATGCAAAATTCCATGTAGTTTTGGTTTCCAGTGAAGACCAGATGGAAAACATTTTGAACGCAAATCTAGATAAGTATATTAGATTGCAAAGATTCATTCTTCACAGGAAACTTACATGTCACGCATGCACAAAGCGAGACATCGTGGAACAAAGGCTTTAACTAAACACTGAATTTAAGACGGTATTTTTAGGGATTCATTCCAGACTAGCATGTGTAATATGTCATTTCTCAAACTTATCCCATCGAGAAGTGGATGGGCCAAGACAGTTCCCACATCAAAAGCTCCATTACGTGGCGGGGGATAATGTACCCATTGACAATTTCTGTGCTAAATGTAATAGTGGTCTGACCGACGCCTGCCATTTGTGCCACCATTTTAAATCAAACCTGTAAAATTATCTTCGTTAAATTGGTTTAATGACATTCTAATTTTAAGAATTTCTTGTAAATAATGATAAAGGAGCAGCAGTAGTTATGGCTTGCCGCAGCACTTACGTGTACAAATGCGACCCATGGCCGTCCAGGTACCATCCTTCTTGCATCTGGAGAAGGGCGAGCTGCGAAGTCTGAAGCCAACGTTACATGTGTAGGTTGCTGTTGCGCCGAATGTCGTGACAGGGGCGCTTACAGTTGCACGAGCAACCACTGGAGGCGAGCCACAGTTTTTAACTATGAAACAAAAAACACGTGATTGAAGACAACATGGTTAGACAATCTTGATTGGTTAATAAAATCTTCAACCTATCTAACAATGACGACATCACATGTTTAAATTACAAATACGGATATCTGGCTAATTGTGAATCATAATTTCACGCTGCACAAAGGAATATATCAGCTATTTAATTAGTGAGAGACCTAAGCATCGATGTACACAATTGGGATACGATGGCATGCTTCAACAAAGTCAGCGACCATCGTCCTGTTGGTCGCCTTTTACGACAAGCATGGGTTGCTGAAGGACTGTTCTAGCCTGGATCTTCACAGGTGTAGCAGGTATTGCGGACACTTCCAAACAGGGCACACTGAATGTAAGACCCAGTGGTACAAATGTCTTTCTGCATGTACTTACTGATGCAGGTCGAGGCGTGGGCAGACCATTTCCCATTTTTCTGGCAGTGACTGAGACCATGTCCAGCGAGCTTGTAGCCAGGGATGCAGGCGCAGGTTGCTACGTCAGCAAGTTTACCATGCGTTGCCCTGCAGACGCCATTTGCCAAGCGTGGGGGGGCGCCACAGTTCCCCACTTAAAAAAATGCAAACATTCCATAAACAGACTTGTAATAAACGTCAGCTAATTACAAGTGTCAGCAATATTTTACTATAACGATGGCTCTAAATATACATTTGCCCAGAACCAAAGAGTAATTTGTGTTGTGGCAAAAATATTTTAATATGGCATGACATTACAGTAATCTCATGAATCGGGATATGTTTAATATGTTTAGCTAGATTAATTTACGGAACAGTTTGGCCAACGGGAAACATGGAACGATTGGTATAAACCTCATGCTAAAAAATGTACACTGGCGTGTACCAGACCAGGAGGCAATGCGAACCAATTCCTTGGACAGGTTTAGGCACCACATTTGCATGATATACTTACGGTACAAGTCGAGTGCCGATTTCCCCGAGGGGAAGAAAGCGATTGCCAGTTTGGAGGATGGAACATAGTCCGATTCTGAAAGGAAAATGGTCAGACGTGGAGAAATGTAAAGGGGTAGGGCTGATATGAGGGCGTAATACATGTACAAATATGGAAGTGACAAAATCCCCTTGGACTCAGTTAGGAAAGATGGAATGCCAGAGTACTAATAAACTGGGGTTACGCCTTGATCACGATGCGTTAAGGTTCTCGAATGACAGATTAACTGGGTTACAGTTGAAGTAGAAAGACGTCCTTATGTCTAAGGAACATTTACATCAGGTATCTAAATCCTACGATTTATATTTTGGCCCAATAGGCCAGGTTTCAGTATTTGTACTTTCCCTTGATGTTTATCTATATAGTTAGGGGATTAGGAGTCGAGAAGACGATACTTTTTGGCCCAATGCCTGCAACACATTTCAGTAAACATTTATCAATTGGAATTTGCAATATTCCAGGTTACCTCCCTTCTTTATGGATATCAGTGCACGGTAAAGGCCGTTTCACATTAAGTCATTGCTGTGTCGAGAAATACGAGTCCAGAATGTTAAACACAAAAACCAAAGTGCTATCGATTCCAAGACAAATGGATTTGTGAACAGATTGACGATAGTGGCATTAAAAATGGATAATATCGGATGGATATGATGGAACCGGTGAAGGTTTAGGGGCCGAGATTAAGGGTCGGTGAGACCCGACCTTTCCAATTGAATCTGACCAAGGAAAATACACTTACTACAAAGGCCGCAGCTGTGTGGACACGACACCATGTAGGTCGGAGTGTTGCAAAACTTGGCTTTTGTGACTGCCGGACAATCGGTCTCATCTTGTCTGAAGCATTGTACTGAAAGGGAATATAAATGCCGTAACAATAAGTAAATTCAAGTACGCTATTTCACAAGTCCGCTGTAGATCAGTTATGAATCGAAACATGGACGTAGAGGACAGTTTGTTTAAACGCCGCACACAGCGATATTTCGACTATATGACGGCGGTAAATAATCGAGTCTGTATCAGACAATCCAGTGATTGACATCATGAGCATCGATCGACGCAATTGGGATACCATGACATGCACCGACCAAGTCAGCGAGGCTGACCACCCGATCCCGTTAGTCGCCTTTTACGGCAAGCATGGGTTTCTGAAGACCTGTTCTACCCCGGATCCTAAGAACAAAGACTGGAAGGTTTGTTATTTCGGTTCTATTGAGACGAAGAATTTGCTAATTTGTAATATGTAGAAAGATTTCCGCCAAATGTACCTACTCCATAATATGTCCATCCATCAATGTAGTTGATGTTTAGCTACAATTTTTTTTTAACCATGTTTAAAATATATAAAAATTAAATAAAAAAAAAAGTTGATTATCTGCAAGCTCCAAGTGTTATGTTTAAATGGACCGAACTGAAAACTGTACAAGATAATTAGCATGGGCCGATGGCTTACATCTGCACTGAATAAACTGAAAATTAGAAGTGAATATATTATAATTAAAATCACTCGTCTGGTCCGAGCCGCGGTCAGCAATATTAAACCTATAATGAAGGCGGCCGTTGAATCATCTCGTTTGGACCAGACAATCTACACATTGACATGCCAGTCAGTCCGACCGCTTGATCCACACGTCGCCAGTGAAAGTTCCTTGGGAACCACCACGGAATACTCACCGAATGATGGAACGCAAACGCAGTTGGCCGTGTATAAGACCAGTGGGCTTGGACAGCTCTTCGAGCATGATTCTGCAAGAAATACGATATATTGTAAATGTAAATGGGTGGGCTTTGCTCATTAACTTTGCATTTATATCTCAAAAACATGGATCGTTCACAACAGGGTCTCTTCGGGTAACTTTAGGTGAACGAACAAGTGAGAACATGGTCACTCGAGTGAAATTAGCGGGTCACAATGACATGATCTATCATTTAATTTTTAATACGACATAAGCTTATCCATTTGTACCCGATGTTTCAGATATGACGCGCATTTGCCGTTTGTGAAAACGATGCACTCAGCAATAGCTATAATTAACTGGGTTGTGTGGCGGCAACGCTCATCGTATAAATGGGACAACTTTCTTATCCATAAGAAATCTGCTAAAAGCAGAGTCGATTGTACGATTCTGACCAAACGTGTTTATGATCCATTATCTAAAAGTGACGATACCGCTGGTATCTGAAAAGATGGGCGCATTGTGCCCTCCTGATGGTACTGTCACAAAGACATGCAGAGGCAAGTGAATTGTTCACCTGAAGAACACGGTAGCATGCGGTACAAGGCATATGCAATTGCACTGATGCTTTGTTGTTTGTTCAAATCGCTGTAGCCACCGATGCTACTTTCTGGATTTTGTTTGTTGTTTAACGCCACACTCATCAGTATTCCAGCTATATGACGGCGGTGTGTAAATGGGAAATTCTGGGCAAGACAATCCAGTGATTGACATCATGAGCATCGATCCACGCAATTGGGACACAACGACATGCATCAACCAAGTCAGCGAGCCTGACCACCCAATCCCGTTAGTCGCCTCTTACAAGTATGGTTGCTTAAGACCAAGTCTACCCCGGATCTTCACGGGTCCGTTACATTACGGAGCGTTAGCGTGGAAACAAGGGGAGAGGGCGTTAAGACTTTAAAATCGGTCGTAAAATACTTGAAGCGGAGGCTACATGACCGAGGTAGATACACGCACGTTTTTAAACGTGAAACGGGTACAAGGACGCATTTCACGTGCAAGGCGGGACCGATTTGGTATTTGGAATGCACAATGAGTATGACCTCGCGTTCTTCCGACGTTTCACAAGACCTATTTTCACATGGCGTTTTCATGCTGGCGATTTTGGGCGCCATCAGCAACATTTAATCTATCTCATCTGCCTGTATACAAGTAGACAGTACGAGGTGGCTATTAGTGATTATTGTACTTACTTCCTGCCGTCCATCTGCATAGAACAAGCACTACCAGACAGAACACCAAACTGGTTGACTGAAAATATACCAACAAACAATTTAAGAACCAAGAAAGGAGTTTCAAAGTTGAAGGTCTCGCATACAGTCGATACGAGATCGCTGCCTGTAAATGCAAGCGACAAGACGCTTTCAATAGCTCACATGAGCTAGCATGTATGTTTTACGCCGCTTTAAGCAATATTCCAGCATTATAACGGCAGGGGACACCGGAAATGGGCTTCACACATTGTAACAATGTCAGGATTCGAACCAGGGTCTTTGGCGTGACGAGCGCACGCTTTAACCACTAGGCTACCCGACCGCCCCAATAGCCACTATGCTAAAAGCATAGTCGGTTGTGACCATGACTATGTATTTATGAATCGCCAAATATTATACCAGGTGGGCCCCGTCACAAACACATGCAAATCCAATACAAGACGATTGTTCACATGAAACAAAGTAAACTTGTCACATACACATACAAGTAAACGAACAAATATGGAACGCCGCATCGACTTCGTTTTATCCATATAGCAACGAGGCCATCAAAACATTTCATAAACAACTTTAATATTAACAAAGTGAAGAGGGATAAAGCACAGTCAGTTAATGTTTTCCCACCCAATATAAAGTCCTGCGTTCTCAATCCAACTCTAAGAAGATACTCACACGAACTGAAGACATCGCGAGTGCTCGCCTCAGTATAGCTCATGTCAAACTGGTGGGGAGAGCTTATGCTTTTATACCCTGTCACCATACTTGCGTATTCACTCGAGACCAACCCGTTCTCGACTTCAGTTCCAGCATACCATGTTCTGTGACAGGAGTGCTGTCCGATGTGCACTACGATTTCAGCATATTCTGTTACAGTAATAGGTATTCCATACAGTCATTATTTTTCAGACATGACAACCCTACAGGCAGGCATTCATTGACGCGTGCCACTAGTAGTGACGTAAACGAGTTTGTTTGCACACATATTTCCAAAGTGTTTGTTAATTGTTTATTGTTGATTCATGTCATCGTACGCCGATTGGGTAGATTGATGCTCATGATGTCAATCACTGGATTGTGTCTGGTCCATAATCGAATATTTACAGACCGCAGTCATATAGCTGGAATATACGGCGTACGACGTTAAACAACAAACAAACAAATAATAAAATCGGCGTTGGGAACGTTACTCATATGATCAACCACCCGTGTGAAAAACATCCTCGACTTACGATCTGTTCCCATCGCCCAAACGCAACCAACGCGCACGTGAAGATCGTACCGGTTACGCCACGGACTAATGAATTGCTTCTTGTGATGTAACCGAACACTTTCTTTGTCTATCACTCATATGCGATTGAATATTTCTTTGAAACCCCGTGGATACTGCTTTAGGTCTTGACATTTGACGTAACAGAGTATATGATGAGTATGTATGATTTAAGACGACACAACACTCAATGTTTAACAGCTTGTGAATAAAATATATTTTAAACTATACCTGTAACTTTAAAATTGTCACCCTTTCGGAATAGCAAAAGTAATTTCAAATAACAGGTAATCATGTATCTATTTTCTATTTATTTAGTGTGTTAGGTTCCCTGATGACGGCCCTGTACCTAAAGTCTTTCTGCAGATTGTTCATTAATGGGTGGGAAACAGATGGTCAAGTCGTCTTAGGCGCCGCAATTCTCTGTGCAGAGTTGCGTCCCTTGGGCACGCCAGAAACCTATGATTGTGGGTTCGAATCTCGGTTCGCCCCGATTATGTTCCGCACCATACCCGTGCTCTTGCGTTTCACCTATGTGGTAAACGTCTGAGATCTGCACCACGTCTGGCTTTCCTCCCCCTTCAAGCTCACATTGTGATATAAATGGAATACTGTTCGAAGCGGTGTTAAAACCAACTCGCTCAAATTGTAGTGGTATTAGGTTTGCTAACGAGGGCCCCTACACGGGATTTCTACAGAATGTGTGTTTGTTTGTTTGTTGTTTAACGCCGCACTCAGATATATTCCAGCTATATGACGGCGGTCTGTAAAAAATCGAGTCTGGTCCAGACAATCCAGTGATTGACATCATGAGCATCGATCCTCGCAATGTGGGGTCGACGACATGCATCAACCAAGTCAGCGAGCCTGACCACCCAATCCCGTTAGTCGCTTTTTTACGACAAGTATAGTCACCTTTTACGGAAAGCATGGGTTGCTGAAGATCTATTCTACTCCGGACCTTCACGGGTCCTACAGAATGTTCATTGATTTGAACTATACTTTTAACAAATTCATACAATTCCGAATTAACTATTTTCTTCACACATATCATGGTAAACTCGCTGGTAATTTTCCCTTTTTAAGTGTTGACGTACAACAGTTTTAAATTGAAAGTAAACTGAGAGTGGCATTTATCTTGGACCAAACTACGTAAAAATCTACCTAGTCTTTATTATGTACATACGTAATTGAGTGAATGAGTGTATCGAACCCGGCCCTTCGCTAACGAGCGAACGCTACCCCACCGCCAACTTGGGAGGATAACCGAGAGTTTCCTTGCTAAGCTAAGCAGCCAATGTGACCACTGGGTGTTCATTCGGCCAACGTTATCACCGAATGTATGATCTTTGTTTAAGGCCGATTTGAAAACATTTCATTTATATTACGGGGCGCTTGACTAAATATACTCATTCAATATACTCACTCACTCACTCACTCACTCACTCACTCACTCACTCACTCACTCGTGAAGATCAGGAAAAAGAAAAGATCTTCAGCAACCCATGCTTGCTGTAAAAGGTGACTAATGGGATCGGGTGGTCGACTCGCGGACCAAATTTCGTGGATCGATGCTCATGATATTAATCACTTGATTGTCTGGTCCAGACTCGATTTGTTTACAGACCGCCGTCATATAGCTGGAATATTGCTGAGTGCGGCGTTGAAAATTTGAGAGTTAGCTATTCGACGAAGTAGACACAATTTATGGATAATAACTACTTTAATTACTGTAAAGGCGACGTTTTGGTATAGATCCTTATACCGTTGTCAAGCAAGTCTTGACAACGGTATAAGGATCTATACCGAAACGTCGAGGAGGTAAAGAAATAGATTTGAATCGTTTCATAAAGCTGACATTTGATATTTGACGTTGACATCGCGTATTGGCTCAAATTTCGTCTGTGTTCATTGCACTTATATAGCGATGTACGTGCGTGCGTGCGTGCGTGCGTGCGTGCGTGCGTGCGTGCGTGCGTGCGTGTGGCTGCTTGTACTAGTCCGGACTGAGGCCGATTTATAGTGCTAGCCCACTGAGATACCATGTTGTAGTTTAACATGAATACCCTACTCAGACCAATATGTATGACTCCAAGCCGACCAGACCTTGCTTTAGCCCCTTAATGCCGAGCGCCAGACAGGGTAACAACAAGTATAATCTTTTAACGTCTGTTCATATGACGCGACCGGGGATAGAACCCCGACCCTTCCGCTCTCCGGGTGGACGCTTTCCCATTAGACCATAGAATCGTATAAGGATAAAAGAATTCTTTTCTTTCGCGGTTAAACGGAGAAATATTACAAAACTTAGAATTGGAATCGTATGCCTGAAATGAGAGATGGATTTCTGCCCAGGAGATCACTGGCATCGAATAGAAGTTTTGGTGCGTTGTTATATGATCTGAGGTCAATCCAATAAGAGTTTGTATTTTAACTTTATCATTTATTGTTTCGTCATATTTCCAACACATGCCATTGATGTTTCTATATGGAACTTTTTTTAATAACAACGTTCACATGACAGATGTGACTTTCGTTGGAGAAGGTATTTGTCATTGAATTACAGACTATTTCATTCAGTGAAACGACATTAAGGCGAGAGTCTATCCTCAAAGGTCTGAGCCCAGTCTTTGTCTACACTTTGTAAACTGCCGGGCACATAATACACATAATAATTGGGATTTGACCACAACATACAAACGTTATCCAAACGTTACTAGGTCGCAGATACAGTGTAAGGTCCAAAACTTTGAAATGGGTACCAAAAACATCACCATCAAATAACTTTCTTGTTTGTTTATCTGTAGTTACAATGAAACATGGGTGTATACTTTCTTTTGCGTGACAGTGCATTACGTGCAATGTGTGTGACATTGTCTTTTGGTCTTGACTTTGTATTACGTGCATTTCTGGTGTCCCCCGCCGTGATATTGCTGGAATATTGCTAAAAGCGGCGTAAAACCTCACTCACTCACTTGTATTACGTGCAATGTGTGAGACATTGTTTCTTGTTCTTGACAGTGCATTACGTGCAATGTGTGAGACATTGTCTCTTGGTCTTGACTTTGTATTACGGGCAATGTGTGAGACGCTGTGTGAGACATTGTCTCTTGGTCTTGACAGTGCATAACGTGCAATGTGTAAAATGTTGTGTGAGACATTGTCTCTTGGTCTTGACTTTGTATTACGGGCAATGTGTGAGACGTTGTTTCTTGGTCTTGACTTTGTATTACGTGCAATGTGTGAGACATTGTCTCTTGGTCTTGACTTTGTATTACGTGCAATGTGTGAGACGTTGTTTCTTGGTCTTGACTTTGTATTACGTGCAATGTGTGAGACATTGTCTCTTGGTCTTGACTTTGTATTACGTGCAATGTGTGAGACATTGTCTCTTGGTCTTGACTTTGTATTACGTGCAATGTGTGAGACATTGTCTCTTGGTCTTGACTTTGTATTACGTGCAATGTGTATGACATTGTCTCTTGGTCTTGACTTTGTATTACGTGCAATGCGTGAGACATTGTTTCTCGGTCTTGACTTTGTATTCCGTGCAATGCGTGAGACATTTTCTCTTGGTTGTGTGGGCAATAGTTAATAACTGTCTGTTATTGCGGACTGAACCGTCCCATTCCCAGCCTAGTCCTCAGTAATTGTAGACTGAACCGTCCCATTCCCAGCCCAGTCCTCGGTGACTATGGACTGAACCGTCCCATTCCCTGGCTAGTTCTTCGTTATTGTGGACTGAACCGTTCCATTCCTAGCCTAGTCCCCTTGTTATTGCGGACTGAACCGTACCACACCAAGCCTGGGCCTCAGTTATTGTGGACTGAACCGTCCCATTTCCAGCCTAGTCCCATCGTTATTGTGGACTGAACCGCCCCATTTCTAGCCTGGTCCCCTTGTTATTGCGGACTGCACCGTCCCATACCAAGCCTAGTCCTCAGTGATTGCGCACTGAACCGTCCCATTCCCGGCCTAGTCCTCAGTTATTGTGGACTGAACCGTCCCATTTCCAGCCTAGTCCCATTGTTATTGTGGACTGGACCGTCCCACACCAAGCCTAGTCCTCAGTGATTGCGGATATAACCGTCCCATTCCCAGCCTAGTCTTTAGTGATTGTGGACTGATTCATCCCACGCCAAGCCTAGTTCCTCGTTATTTGTTGCTAGTCCCATTGTTATTGTGGACTGAACCGTCCCACACCAAGCCTAGTCCTCAGTGATTGTGGACTGATTCATCCCACGCCAAGCCTAGTCCTCAGTGATTGTGGATTGAACCGTCCCACACCAAGCCTAGTCATTAGTGATTGCGGACTGAACCGTCCCATTCCCAGCCTATTCCCCTGGATATTGTTGACTGAATCGTCCCACACCAAGTCCAGTCCTCGGTGATTCTGGATTGAACCGTCCCATTCCCAACCTAGTCCCCTTGTTTTTGTGAACTGAACCGTCCCATTCCCTGCCTAGTCCCCCATTATTGC